GTTGTTGGTCTATGGGCGCTGACAGTTTTTTGGTTTTTTGGTTAGGTCACAGTTTTATGCCATTTATTATTAACCATATTTATGTACATACATATGTTTCTATGCATTTGAAATATTTACCCTTTTATATAGTATACGTATGAAAACATTTTCCATTAATACTTTGTTGAAGAAAATTCTAACCTAAAAAGTTTGCTAACTTCGCAGTTGTTTGCAAGTTTGAGCAGGGATAACGTCATTTGTAGTATTGTTGATAGTTAGATCTATAAACAGAAATTACAAGTTGCCCTTAGAGGTAGAGAGGAATTTTAAGAATTGTCTTGTGTTTCTGAATCGTTAACGTTGCTACAAAGAATATAGAATTAATTGATATATGTTTTATAACATATTAATCAAGGTGCCATCATTAAGTCGATAAAGTCGTGACAGAGATAATTAGTATATGCAACTACCTATATATACGAATACTTATATATCATTTGAATCATGATCGTTTCTGGTTTTTAATATATACTCGTGTATGTATGCATAACCCCAATTCCTTGAAGATTAATGTACAATTATCGTAATATTTAATCTAGTAAGTTTCTACATATTTATATAAGAAAATAGGTATAACTATAATAATAAATGTTTTTTCCTCACATTTAATCGATGGTTTGTTATATGTACATATACACATCATATTATATTTAGGTTTGTTTGCAAAACGAATACAAGTATTTAAATGGTTTCACATACAGTAAATTAACTGCTTATTTAAGAATACTCGTATGAGTAAAGAAAAAGAATACTCATAATAGTAAGCGGTAAAATTTGTAGCTTATTGTTATCGCCACACATTGCTTTAATAGTGTTGCTAGCCAAGGTTGTTCAGAATCCCGAAATGTTATTGGTCAATTAGGTAAATTCGCCTTTACTATCCAGAGACCACTGATCTCAGCATATCCTCATTAGCTTAGACCAAAACACAAATGCAGAAAACTGGCTCCAGAAAAGAATAATATTTAGTCATCAATCAAATGCATGCAACCCTGACATTTTTTAGTTCAAAAATTTACTTCTTAATCCTGATGTTTTTTATTTGAATGAACGCGAAAAAATGTTCTGAAACAATTTCTTTTTTTAATTCCTAATTATATGCTTGAGATAAAAATTTTTTCTTTTTTATTTTTCAATCCGATTTTTGGGATTAAATATTTTTTAATCCCGTATTTGTGATTACAAAATATCAAAAAAAATGTAGTTTAAATGTTACTTCAATTTTTTTAATGCATTATTTGCAACCCTAGTCATCATATTGTCAATAAATTTCTTTTCTGATGGGCGTTAATTTAGTCAATTAGCAAATAATATAAGAGCTTGGGTATAGTTACAAGTAGCCTGACTGCAGATGATTTTTACGAAAATAATTTTTTGGTCAACAATACACCAGGAAAAATTACATTTTTTGTTAGTGAACGATCGATAAACGTGATAGATCTTTTAAGTCAAACGTAGTATCTGGACACTTATTTCATGTATAAACTGGTGCACCAAATAAATTTAAATTTCCATAATGGTAGAAATATGTTTCTATGACATCCATATCCCTAAACCTGAAATTCGTTTCGATGCAAGCATTTAGCTCTGCCAGTCAACTCACCTGAACGTCTACTCAATCATGCTTTGGTAATTACATCGACCTCTTGGGATCGCAAGATTCCGCAACACTTCACCAGCGAACGTAAAACCAACATCACGATGACTACAGTTGCACTTGCAGCCTGTACGTGCAACAAAGCCGAGTAACCAAGGTAAGCATAGAAAGCGCTGCCACTGAAAATCATTTGGGCGAGTTGTGTGTTATTGTTGTTGTTTTGCACGTTGGACTCTTGAGTGCGGTCTGTTTGGTTATAGCTGAGCTAAGTTCAATTTGATGGTCCGCTATGGACTGACTCTGCAAGCTCGGCATTCCTACCTCGCACCTTGTGGCAGCGCCCGAACTGTGGCTCACATTAATGGCATCTAATGTTTTTGTGGTTTTGTTTTTACCATTTTTATTTACCGCTATCAGACATTCAGGTTGGGTGCACACTTCCAATTTTATTGGCAGGCAGGTTGGGCAAGCCGAGCCGCCACCGCGCCGCAATGATTTTTATAATTTTCGCCATAGTTCGATTACCGCGGATAGGTACATATGTACGTACAAACATATGTACAGGAATGAGTATATATATGCATGTACATATGCAGAAATATGTGTGTTCGAAAGTTTCTATCACCTGTGCTCGGTTTATTATGCATACTAAAATGGGCGGAACAAAGATTTTGCATTTTTGCGTTTTAAGAAATGGATTTCGAATTTTCTGGGGGGTTCGAAATGCAGATGTCTACATATTTTTCTATTCCATCAAGTGTATCATTAATATATAAATACTAGCACTTGTTTTCAATTTGTTTTCGCAACAAAGTTTGTTAACGTAAAATATTTGGAATACCAGACTTGAGAAATAAATCAAAGGGTTATTTATATGACATTATTTGCCTCGAAGCAATCGAGAAATAGTGCTATGGCCAGCTGATGACAAAATACATTTTTAACAATGTATATACCAAGCAGGATGAAATTTGTATACCCTTTTGTTGATAAAATTCGATTTTTCAATTATTATTCAACATATGTATGTTAGTTGTCATCTAAGGCGATAGACCATTTATAGCAATCGTCCATATTTACACTCTTGCAAAATGTTGCGACAGAGTATAATAGTTTTGTTCACCTAGCGGTTATTTGTATGACCTCAAACTAATCGCGTTAGATATAGTATATGGTAAATTATCATGACGTTGAGACGAATTGAAATCCGAGTGACTGTCTGTCCATCTGTGCAAGCGATAACTTGAGTAAAAAGTGAGATATATATTAAGATATAGAACTGTAAATTGGCGCAGGAAATCGCAGTAGTAAGGGGCACCTGTGGGTTAAAAATTAAAAAAAGGGCATGGCACTGCTCTCTAAGAGATTTTATGTATATATCTTCTTAACCGCTATAGCTATAACAACCAAATTCGCTCACGAAAAATCTCCTAAACAGCACTACCGACACTGTAAAAATGTATGATAACCCTGCCTACTTCCCATATAACGGTACTGTTAAAACTACTAAAAGTGCGATAAATCAATAACTAAATACGACAGAGACATTAAATATTACATCCGAGATGTCACGAGAGGGCGCTTTATGCCGGGGTCAAAATTATACGATGGGCGTGGCATCGCCCCCATTTAGATGAAAACCCATATCTCGGGGCCTGCTCGTCTTATTTCAACCAAATTCGGTAAAGAGAATTATTCTCATATTCTTATGACTCGGTGTGAAAATGGACGATATCGGACTACAAGCGTGCCTACTTGTCTGATTCTTTTACTTTCCAGTATACAATGAATGTATCGAGATAAAACTTTGCACGAATACTGACTTTGAATAGTGCCAGCTTATGACCATATATATGGACCCCAGTTCCTATTGCGAACTTTTTATCGAAAATATCGGTCAAATTGGGATATATATTATAGATTAAATCGGATCAATAATCTTAGCACCCATAAATCTACAATTTTTGAGTTCTGATAACAAGAAAACGTCTCAAGGAGCCGAAATCCACACACTTAGGCGCCGTTTACATTGATTTTTAATATGAGATAGTCCGACACGAAGAATAATAAGAGAGATGAAAAACAAATATTAAACTTTTTAAAAGGGAAAAACTATTGTCCTACACTATATGAAAAAAATGCAATAAGAAATAAGATAATTTAGTATACCCATATTAGCAATAACATCAGTAAGTAATAAAATACTTCTCCATAATTTTCCCAGTAAACAAAGTAAGTTGATACTTAAATCAATTCACATTTATTCAAACAACAGTTTTAAATTATTAGTTGCCTTTTGAGAATATTAGGCTAGACGCTACTCGAAAATCATTTTTATTTTACAATTATGTAACTCTTATTTATCTACAGTCATCCAACTGAAATAAGCTAACTGTGCGCTGATAAAAGTGCTTGTAACGCGACACTTAACCATTTTATAAAATACTTTTTTTCTGAACATATTATTGTATTCATTATATTGGATTTAATATAACCAAGTAATAATTTTTAGACAATTTAAAGGCTTAATTTATGGCAACTGTACATATATACTGTATGCTATAGTGGTCAGATCTGAACAGTGTGTTCGGAGAATCTAGCGTTGCTTTGGACAATAATTTTTAGAGTTTTCCAAACAAAAATTTTATTTTGATCGGTCAGTTTGTATGGCAGCTCCATGCTATAGTGGTCCGATATCGACTGTTCCGACAAATGTGCAGCTTCTTGAGGAGAAAATGACATGTGAAATATATCAGATCCATATCTCAAAAACTGAGAGTCTAGTTCGCATATATACAGACTGACGGACACGACTAAATCATCATCGGCTCAGCTCATCACGCTAATCATATATGTATATATATTTTATAGGGTTTCTTTCCAGGTTCTACAAACTTTGTGGCAAACTTAATATACCCTGTTCAGAGTATAAAAATGCATAAGAAATATTAATCTGCGGTGCCAAAAAAGTGTACATTCGATAAAAGCAATGTCGGTCACAAACAGGTTAAATATATTTTGGACATTTCCCTGTTGAACGCAATAATTTTCAATTTATGATTATTTTTATGACCTGAATGAAATTACTTTTATATAATGAATGAACCGTTTAGTGGGGCATCAGTAATGGGAAGAAACATAAAAAAGTAACTTTAAACAACTTACTTCTCCAACTAAATATTTCGAAAAACTTACGTAAACTTTATATTGATAATGCATTTTTTATGATAACCAACATTGCAACACATTTTTTATGAGATAAATAGTGCATTTGCTGAGCTCGGTCATTTGAAAATCCATATAAGTATATGAAGATACAGTTTAGAGCAGTAAAAATAACTTGATATTTTTCTACTTTCAGATAACACATGATTTTTCAGGAAATCGGCTGAATAATGTAAGTACTATTATACTCGCAAATGCGACAAAAAATATATTCTTATTTACGTACAGTTTTTGTAGTATTAATATACGTATGTATTTAAGTTATTAATGGTAATTCGGCATCAACATAAAGCATAAAAATTGCCATGAAACTAACACAGTTCACAACTTAATTGAATAAAGGCATTATTTATGTATGTATTATGCATGGATTTAAAAATGATTGTCTATAAAGTGCTTACATATGTACTCGCCATGTCATATTTGACACAAATTCTTTAATTTTTTCTGGCACTGCACCTTTTTTTGTGTGATTATAGTGCATATTTTATGTTATTATACAGGGAGAGCCCTAAAATTAGAAAAAATATCTTTGAGTAAATTATTGTTTTTTCATATTTAGTTGCATTTTTAGCACCCGTGGCACTAATATCTATATCCATGAAATTGGCTCTCTAAGTCTTCGTGGTTGAATTATATTCAAACCTTTGCTCTACATACTTTTTATTGAGCGCCTTGATATGGTGGGCCCTGTATATACCATGTATTTTGTCACATAAATGTATATTTGTCTCTTAATAATATCAGAGATGCATAGTTTTAGGAATGTGAAGATATCTTGCAAAAACTAAATATAATTTTTTTTATATAAAGTGATTTTATATACATCGATATTAATTCATTTGCATATTAAGTTGTACATTTTTATATGTAAAAGCATAATGTACACATATACAGTCTACATAACCTCAAATAAAAACCCTTCATAAAAATATTATGGTTTTCGTATTATGGTGTTTTGAAATAACATGGTCATCATCATTATGATCATTATTATATCACACAGTCCGCAAAATAAATGATGAGAAATTACGAACGAATAAGAAACAGCAAAATCGTGTTCCCTCTGCAGCTGGCCGATTTTTATAAGCATTAAAGCTCATTGGCACACCTGCTTACACTGCATTGTGTTTGTTTTCCTATAATATTCGTTGTTTATGGCTGCTGCCTATATAGCACAATTTCGGAGGAAAAAACGTGTAATAAATATATTATTGCATTTGTTTAATTTATAGCGGGCCAGCGGTCTACTGGAAAAGTTATGAAATGAGAAGAAGTTTTGAGCAGTGTTTTTTTTTAATATTCTTGGGCTCAATTTTAGTAGTCTTACTACAAACCCAAGATGTGCCAAAATTGGCATTTAAACTTTAATATAAATAAATTTAGTTTTTTATTCAGTGAAATAATACTAATATGAACGTTGTAAAACATCGGTTTTTTAAAAATATTTGAATTAATATTTTTAGGTGATTTGGGAGAAAAGGTTCTCAATTCAAATCCTAGGCATCAAATACTGGGTATCAAACATTATAAAATTGTTCAAATTTTTTCAGTAAATAATGCGATATACGCGTTTATTTGTATATATCTACCATAATTACTTACTAATATATCGTCAAAAGTAAATACACACATTTGTACATATGTATTTATGTGTACATAAATCTCATCTACCCATCTATCTTCAATCGGGTTACTCCCACGCTAACTGTGGTGAAACGCTCATTAATGGAATATAGCATTACCCACAGGAAGCTGGCTTATCCTTTGCACAACCACATGTTATTGAGAGCATAACGGAATTAGGTTAAACATGAGTAGGCGGATGCCAGTACGTAAGTGTGTATTGTGTGCGTGCATGAACAATGCTCACGCAAACCTTTAAAACACAGAATCGAAAAAAAATATAAGTGAAAGGATTCTAGGCCAGCAAGGATACATATACTACAATCATACGTACATACCTATATATGTATGTATGTGCTTTTATCTCCGTGCCGTGCCTTATTTATGAGTGCGGATAAATGGAGAGATTTGTTGAAAATAAAACTCAAATCCAGATAAAATTGAAGACAGCTAAGAAGATCTCTTCAATTACATGCGTTATTTTGCATTCTATAATTGATGAAATGTTAGATAGATTATTAATAATATAATACAAAATCCCTTTTTCAATGATTTCACGAGTTCCTTATACCTTTTTATTACGTGATATGTTCTGCTTCTTTACGAATACTAGACTTTTATCTACATATATTTCTCCTGCATTCTTCATTTTCATTTTGGTATACCCCATATTTCAAAATTTCCTACGCAAATCAACGTTAATATAGGTGATGTCTTCACTCAGCAGAGATCACAATATGAGATGAGCATCAAAAACTTGAAATTGAATAGAAACTGCTTTCGAGTCGATTAAAATTTATGGCTTGGTCTTTTCACACACGCTGTTTCGATGATTTCTGAACTCGCTAGACCTCTAAAGTGTTCTCGCCGACAAACTACCCGCCGTGAAACGCTTTCGTTGTTTTGAATGCCAGCGATGAACGAACGCCATCACCAGCAACGACCATGTGCAAGTACAATTGTGACCCAATTCCAAGCGCCAAGCATAAACGTACACACATATATAAACGCCAAGAAATAATAAAATCACTAAATTCTAGCTGCGCGCCGCTTAAACGTCGATTGAGGCATTTTCACGCGCCGTCAGCAGCAACATTCACATCAACGGCAGCGTCGCTATAGACTGCACCAGCTAGAAATAAGAATGAGAGTGGTTGAAGTACGCTATGTTTCGCACTCAGCTGCTCGGGGTGTTGTCTGCATTGCGTTGTCTTCAATAAGAAATACTAGAGTGAATGTACATATGTAGGTGAAGAAAAATAAACAAAGCTTTTAGGCAACGAGGCAAGAATTTTGCAAGAAAATCTCCATTATTCTGCCAGTAAGTCTATTGAAGCAAAACGCGTCTGCATTGCTCTTCCGCTGCATCACAAGCTTTATTTCTAATAAACGATTTCGCGCCTGGGGCTGAGCGATGAGTGAAATAACGCAATATGCATAAGTTTTTGGGGTTTCACGATAGCTGAGACTTTTCTAGCAGTTTGACTCTGGTTACAAGTAATGTACAAACACCTGAGGGTAAAAAACTAAACTGGCGCGCAGTACACAGTTTACTTAATAGCAAATCAAAGTGAGCAAATTGTATATAGTGAATAGAACTCGGAAATCTGTCGATTTGGCATAAATATAAATAAGAATTACCTCTTTATTCCATACTTATTTACTCTCTATTGTTCTACTCTGCGCTTAGCCTTAGCTAGACTGTAGAAAGGCTGTGCGCTGACTCTGACACGAAGCACGCCAATTGATTTGGCCGATCTAATATAATTGTTGTTGCATTGCTGATTTGAATTCAATTAAAGTGCTTCCTGCCGCCACAATCACAGCGATGTACACACACACTTATGTATGTATATATGTATATAATTTATATGCATATTAAAATGTTTGCTGCCGCATTCGCACAATTTTATTATCATAAGTTACACAATTTGATTTGAATTGCTGCCGATATTTGCACTCAAGCTTTGCCACTGACTTACATACAAGTAGTCGAATATGTAAGTGTTTTGTATGTGGTTGTTGTTTTTACTTTTATTTTACCCGTAGATTACACTACTACATAGATATCTACATATCATAACATTAGTATTATGACACATTTTCATTTCTTCTGCGATTTTCTTTGCTTCGACTTGGATCTTCTTTTTCTTTGTAACCATTTACAAAGTGTCTTTCATCCGCAATTGCTCACTTGGCTTTGAATGGTTAGTCTTTTAAGTTGGATTGTTGCAATTGCGATGGGCTAATAGATTCAAGTTGTCAGTCTTAGGCACTTGTATGCCGGAAAGGGTCACTTCGCCTGTATGAATGATGCACTTAAACAAGACGTATGCATCAATAGGCAGATTTTTTTCTAAGCCCCTCGGGTGTGAGATAATGATAAATAAATTATTTTTATAGCTTTAAATTACTTTTCAATGTGCCAGCGCTTTTAACAATTAGAGTTGAAACATCTGCTAACGAAAATTTGAGAATATGTAGCGCGAAAGTCTAAGACTATGGAACATATCGATCTGTAAAACCATCTTCGGTTGAAATTACTTAAAATTTCGACTAATAATTTACACAAATTAGGGTTCAATTTCACTAGCAAAATAGCATTTATGTTTTGAAAATATGGCTCGAATTGCTCTAGGCGTCGTGAAGCAATTAAACGTGTATCTTTTGCAAGGCTTCTACCAAATTTTTAATTTAGGATGTTTGGATGTATAATCAAAAAACTGATTTTGCAACAATTTTAAGTGAACTTTCAACAGATGGCAGAAAGCCAAAATGAATTTAATTTAATTTCGCTAACAAACCAAATACTGTCAGACAAATATTCACAATAACAAGAACAGTCGGAACATATTTATTATAAATTAGAATATTTTAATTCATAAAAATGCCACACTTTTTCCGCACATTGCCAAAACACATGCAATTGAATGTAAATCCTCGGACTAAGAATTGAAATAAATAGCATCTAAATTGTAATCTTTTTGATCAGCCACATGAAATATCACTTGGGCGTAAAGCAGGCGCAGTTTTGCATATATGGTACATATGTATCAAGCAAAAGCATTTAGTAAATGTACCTCTTTAGTATATTCTTAAATATATTTTACATAATACATAAGTGCGAGTAGTGGCTTTGGGACCATAACTACATGAGTTTTAAACTGCTTTTTATTCTAAGTAACATTTTCGCCATATTTAGTCGAAAACGGTTCGATTAAGAAAAGTAAGGCTAAGCGAATTGGAATGATAAGAGACACTGAAAATGATTGAGCTGATTCTCATAAAAGATTGGAAGAGCTGAAAACAACTTTTTTTTGTATTAAATAAATTAAAAGCATGGAAAACATATTATTACAAAACTTGGAAAGATTTTTTTGATAAAAAAATAATATTTTTACAAACAATTACTTTAGAAAGATAACTCACTTCTTTTATATTTTTAATATCGACACACCTTAGTCGTATCATTCTAATTTGTGTGTTCTCGACAGGGTCACTTTAAGTGGCATCACATCACCAAAATTCGGAACTAATTCGCTCTGC